GATTTTAGTATGAGTGTATCAGAGGACCGAAGGGGACGGCAGACCATAGAAGAGTGAAAAGTAAAACGTTCTTTAAGGTAAAGAGACGTAAAGGGATAGAATAAAGTAGAGTAAAGAAGGGAAAATGTGTGAAGGTCTCTACGCCGATCGTGTAGTTAGTAGAGTTGGTTAATAATCCTTCTATTTTTATGGTCGATATGTTTGCTGTTCCATATTGGTGGTGTTTCTAAAACTGCTGAAATTATTTCCTCTGACGACAACGACTAAACATGGTTGAAATAAAAATAGGTACGGATAAGCAACAAGGCGACATTTAATTTGTAGCTTTAGACTGCTAACAGATTGACTGCACGTTTTCAGTAATCGCATGAAGTCGTAATTAAGTTAACACAGCCGCGATTGACTGCATGAAGTTGATTACGACTTCGCACATTAATTGTAAACATGCAGTCAATCTGTTAACAGTCTTAGAGCCTGTATCGCTGTTTTTTTTTATAATATCAAGTGACGGGACGAACAAGTCGTGGGCTTGATGGTAGGCTACACGCCTGTCCATAACAGTTGCAGTACCACTCAAAGCTTAAAATCGCAAAGATCTGAGGGGCACTGCCACTGCTCCCGTCACCCTGAGGCATAAGTTGCCAAGTCTCATGTGCCTGTTATTTCACCAACACCCCTTCAAAACCGGTACGCATTAATGCTTTCATTATTGCTTGGCGGCAGAAATAGGTATGGTGGCAGTGCTTCCCTGGAAGAACTCTTTTACAAGGAGCTCTTTTGCTACTAAAATGCCGAGTTGCGCGTATGCACACGTAGAAGTCGCGTGTTTACGGCGCCACTCAATTGCGTCATCTGCTCGCCGCCCGTGTAAAAATACGCCGTGTACATAGATAGGCTCTAACCATCTAGATTACTTTGATGACAAGTACTTTCGGCATATGTTGTCACAGGGAAATGTTGGAACCCATACCATGTCTCTACAACTAAGTATACTAGACCATCATTCCTTTCACATTTTTGAAGATTCCTATTGTACCGACTATTATTGAGCTAATATAAATTCTTCCAAGTCTGAAACCTACACGCTAAATTTGTCCTTTACAACTTTGATTGACTTGTCATACAATTTTGAAAACAAATTACTTACGCTACAATGAAAAATGAAATCTACTGCTGGACAGTAGTAATTGATTTCTAAAAATAATTGTTTTCTTTTTTAATTTATTAATTGTTTAATTAATAATTTACTAAAAAAGACTTGAACCCATTTTCTTTTAGTATTATAAATTAATTTCAAAAACCATAGTCAGGTGACATCACCTTACCTATTTCTGCCGCCAAGCAATAATGTCAGCATTACTATGTTCCGGTTTTGAAGAGTAAGAGTGCTGGTGCTGGTAGAGTGAAATTACAGGCACATGGGACTTGTCAACTTATGTCTCAGGGTGGCAGGCGCAGTGGCAGTGCCCTTCAGATCTTTACGATTGAAAGCTATGAGTAACACAGCAACTGTTATGGATGGGCGTGTAGCTTACCATCAGGCGTACGACTTGTAATATATAATAAAATAATTTAAAAAAATATAAAATAAAAACCAAGTCTTTAAGAGCTGGTTGACACTTACAATCAACTAAACGTTTTTGTCATCTGAACCAGGCGTAGACCATATTCCACAAGATTTTTAGTAGCAGTAGAGCTCCTTGTGATAGAGTTCGTCCAGGAAAGTACTGCCACCTTAAATATTTCTGCCGCTAAACAACAACGTCAGCATTACTGTGTTCCGGTTTTGAAGGGTTAGGGTGCTGGTGAAATTACTGGCACATGGGACTCATCAGCTTGTATCTCAGAGTGACAAGCGTAGCAATGTTCCTCAGATCTTTATGTTTGAAAGTTTTGAGTGCCACTGCAATTTCTCTGGACAGGCATGTCGCTTGACACCAGTCGCGCGACAAATTCGTCCGGTATCATAAAAAAGACTTGGTGCAATTCTAACAAATCATGTTTGGTTATAAAAAAAATTTCTAAAGTTTTATTTTCTTTTTTACATCTTCAAACAGTAAAAAAAGTAGAAAAATATAACTAAAATTCCAAGTGTTAACACCAAGCAATGTGAATGATATATTTCAAAACAAATGTGGCTGAAGGACCAGGTATAGGAAGTCGGCTGGAATTAAAATATTCCAATAATATTACGCTTCATGTTTTGAATAACATTGTGCAATAATAAAACAGAAGTATTGTCAACTAGCCTATTGATATAATTGAAAAAAAAACTTCCCACAGATTGTAATGTTATCTTTCAAAATATTATTATAAAAATTAGAATAAGGTTTGTACACAATTACTACAAACGCTGTTTTTCTACAAGTGCGAGTTATTTTATCAGAATGCCACTTGTATGGAATTTAATTACATAATTTTGTGTTCTTCTTCATCAACAAAAGTGGAACAGAAAAATAAGCACTCTAACCGTAACCTTATTGGCACCGCCCCGACTGGGCCTAATCATCTACTGCGTCCAGCGAGCGATTCCGACTACGTTGTTATACGTGTCACGTTTTTATTACTTCACAAAGTCTGCTGATATTGTGGAGTATATAGAAGTGAAAGCCAATGACACCCTGAGGGTCGAGCGGTTGAGGTCCCGCCACAATGTGAATTTTAATTAATTTGTGGTGAGAATACCAACTGCACATCTGTCAACCTTCATAAAGGAGGAGTTTTGGCCGAAGGGTGTCATGTACGTTTCCGAGGCCTGTTACCGGACACCCGCAACGCGTCGCACTTTGCAGTCGGTACTTGTAAATAAAATTAGTGGTTGTTTTATTGTTATTATAGACACATTATTATGTTAGTCTACAAGGTAGGTATTAATTTTTATAATCTGGTTATAAATAAACAAAATATTCACATACCACCTGAGAAGAATACTTAAATAAAAACCTCTAGATGTTGCTCTGTGGAAATACTATTGGATATATTTTCAATAAAAAACT